TTTTTTTTTTTTTTTTTTTTTTGAAACAATGTACCGTGTTATCTTGATTTTAAAAATTCGTGTATGCGTAGCAGAAACAAAATGTGCAGTCTTATAAATATATTTTACATTACTTTTACTCTGTGTCTTGAGTTTTGATCAAAGGTGTCTTGTTTCATTATTTTAAGACCTTAACACACTTGGTCACTTTAGAACAAAATGCTAAAAAAGAAGAATAAATAAAGATTAACAACATCCATTGAACATCAAATGCAAAAACTCTAGCTAGCTACCTACCTATTCGGCATTTTGGTATAATCGTCATGTACCTTTCTTTATTTGCAGATTCTTTTGAATGTCGATCAAACTAAAACCGCACAACAATGTTTAGATGGATTCTACCTTAGATAGAACCGGCCCAGATATTATACTAATTAATCAACTGGGATTTTGGAATAACATTAAATTTGGGAAGATTCCATGTGTTGTTCTCTACATGGCAAGGCAAAGACAAATTATTCTGGTCACAATACTGCGAAGATGAAAGACAGATGTATTTTCATACTCACATTGTCTGCAAAATAAGAGATGAAGCAAAAGAGTTCTTTCTCTCTCCAAAGCAAGCAACACAACACAGGCTTTAATGCTCTTTTTCGTAATCGTCCTTGGTTCCAAAGTTCTTGCACCATATCTGTGACGGAATGGGGCGTACCGGCATGTGTGGCCTTTGCTGTAAAAAATCAACATACAAAGATTTCCCTCAATATCGTAATCATCAAACAAGAATGTGCAAACTATAGAGTAGCACAAATATAAAATATACTGGGTTCTTGTGACAAATGACAAGAGACAATGTAAGTCCATACTAAAACCCAAGCCACTCTTTCAACCATATTTGATGCACATGAGTTGAAGAATATTAGATTTCATGGTCGAAAAACTAGAGCAAAAGAATCAACTTATATCTCCTAAAACTGCTACACAAACACAAACACAAAAGTAACATGGCAATGGGAAACAAAGTCTCTCGAGAGAGATTTATTAACGGGGTGCAAATCAAATTCAGGTCACAAATAGGTTACCATTAGCGAATACTGTACAGATGAATCATTGGCAATCACAAAGTAGGGAAGGGGAGTTAATGAAACTAACAAATGAAACTAGGTAAGAGAAGGTTGTTCAATTTTACTTGCAACAAATATTATAACGTACTTCAGGAGGACTGCGCCTGCTTGTGAAATATATATACATAAACGACAGTTATCTACAATGGATTCACAGAGACTGTAACATCAAAAATTGGAGGATGTAGGCAGCATAGGATGAAGGAAGGGACCAAAGAAGCGAAGCGAAGAAGAATGTTACCTCGAGCTCGGCAGATTTCATGGCAATGGGGATGCAGACAAGGAAAACTCCTAACATTGCAAACGCCGTGTTCCGACGCCAGTGCTTGGGCCTACAGTAAGGCCCACCTGACATACTCCATACTTTCGCTCTGAAATCGCCTCCTTCTCCTCCTCCTCCTCCTCCCATTTTTTTCTTAGATTCGATCCCGTCGATTCACTAATACAGATTCCATCAGTTACATAAATTAAAAAAAAAAAAAAAGGGAAATGATGTAATTAATCAAGCAAACCCTAGCCCGCTAACAACTAAATAGAACCAGGCTTTGATAACAGAATGTTCGAATTGAATATTCTAATAGTATGATTCCGGAACACTGGTGCGTATAGATCAACTCACCTTAGCGAAATCAGAAAGAACGAAGAAGACAGAACTTCTCGAGTCGGGAGGGGTAGTGAATGGAATGAAGTGAAACGAGTTTTATCATTTTGGTGAAATTGACCTGCTTGAATACTCAGGCTGTTTTACGTCTTTGGCCTCATCTTGGCACTCAGTAATGTGTTGTTTCTCATTTAATTTTCTTGTAATTTCCAAAGTACTTCATGGGCAATATTGTCTTTTACTCACCCAATTATCACGGGACGGGCAGAACAAGTCAACGCATTTGATCTTCAAAACAACACAGTGTTTTCCTCTAAGATTCAGGAACGCCTACACCAAATTCGTGTTAACTTCCGATTTCTTGGAGTTTCGACTCACAAAGATGAGTTGCGACACAAGAGATAATGGAACAAGATGTTGTCAGGGCGTTTGGCATTAAACATTCACTACTCACAGTCATGTCCACTATTAGGATATATATAAACTAAAGATTTATTCTTGGATTGGATTCACCCCCAATAATGAACCTCTAGTTTCACCAACCAATACACTTACATTATTATATATTTAATATCTTTTGAAAAAAAAAATCAGTGACAAGAAAAGGAAATAAAATCATTGTTTGCAGAACGAAAAAGCCATCACTGAAGAAGTAGCCGTGGTGAATGGTTAAGGTTTAGTGGCTAAGGTTTAAAGGCTTCTACACTAGGGTTCAAATCTCAGACTACGCAGTTTCTACACCAAGTGGGTTTCAATTCCCGAAGAAGGTGAATGGCGAATTATGTAGATTATTGGAGAAAAAAGTTTACAAGAGATCTTCAGCATGACACAAAGAGTACCGTCAGGAATGGATCTCATAGGGGGGCTCAGGATGATGCAGTCATACGTGAATCCGCATAATACAGGTAAAATTGTCGACTGTAATATCTTCTATGTAATATTTCTCATAGTTTGTAATGCATAATTAACCAGTGTTAAAAATAGAAGAAATAGCCAAACCAGTGTTAAAAATAGAAGAAGTTGACTAGTCGTCCAAATTGATCTCCACTGTAAGTAATGAGCTTCATATATCAAATCTTCATGAGATGGAAAATTGGTCTGAGTTGGGTCCAAACCCAAATCAAAACAGCTTTGACTTCACGTCCCATAAAAAGAAATTTGTGTATCACCTACTAAAGATGATTAAAGACTTGGCCGACCCTAAGCCTTATGAGATCAGGAAATAAGTCATGACTATAAATATGAAGTTGCTAAGGACGTAGAAGATCATCCTGGAGAGAGAGGATCCGAGAACACAAGAACAAAGAGAGAGCTAAAGAGAGATCAGGCTAGAGAAGAAACTAAGCAAAGCATTGTTCGAGTCATGTCTTTGCGGGAGAGAGTTTCTTTGATCTTTCTTATTCTTTGTTGTGTTCTTTGTATGGTGTCATGTGTTATACGAGGAGAACGCTTAGAGCGTTTGTGTAAACCCCTTTGATTGATAGTGGAAGTTGTGGGAGACAGTTCTGTTACAGGCTGGAAACCAGACTGCACAAAGTGAGGATCAGAGGTTCCTGATGGATGGTTCCGGTACAACGATAAGGGCTTGTGGGAGTGATTGTGAGGGCTGTGATTTGTACCTGAAACAAAAGGAATGATTTTTATGGGTTAAACGAGATGAACAGAAGATGAATAAACATAGTAAAAATGATAGATAGGGCGGAATCAAGCAGCTGGACTAAGGTCTCTCTCATCTTAATCAATAGATGGATTGAAGTGGAATTGCGGATGAAGCTTTGATTGAATCTCTCAATCTGGTGGGATGGTGGATCAATGTGATTGACTCTCTCAACCTGTGTACTGAGCTTGTTTGATTTTCACAAACAAACTAGACTCACGAAATTAATAAGACTACAAAGAATCACACTTTGAATCCTAAAGATTGATATTTTATGCAAAGAACAAACTTTGATAAAAATCTGAATAATCTTCTTATAAACTTAGATGGTTGAAAGATAAATGATACAATGAACGTATAGAAGCTTATATAATGCTCAGAGACAATGGTTCTAACGTTCTAAAAGAATAAGAAAGAAAGAAATCAAAAACAAAGCAAGAAATCGAAAACTAGCCGTTGGAGCATTTAGTGGGATCTTTGGCTCCAAGTGAGGAACTTGTTTCTTCTTAAACCTGGATGGTTTTAATGGATAAGAGAGCTTCTTTGGGACCTTCTGGGTGGCTTGGAAGGTGCTGGTTTCGTGCAAAAACTCTTGGCAAAAGAGCTATTGGAGTTTTAATGGCTAAGACTCCAAATAAGGCAAGATGGGGTCAATGAGGATCCTCCTGATCCTATGTGGGCTGGTTCATAGTAGGAACTGATGGAAATCCTCTGGCTCGTGGATAAGGTTTTCTTGATGGTATAGAATATCTACTGGCTTCCATAAAAAGGTTTGGGTCGGACCAAACTGAATTAGGTTAAGCTTCTCTTCAATTGATGTCAGTTTGGCCAATTGGGATTAATCGGTTTTCTCTTCTGGTCGGATTGAGATCCGCCTGATCCCATGTGTTCTGGTGCTTCCTAAGATGTTTGGAGTGCCTCTGAATGAATTAGAAGGTCTCTTGGTTGTCTTCTTGAGATTGGATTGAGGCAAAACTCGGATCTTCCAAATAAGGCAAGTGTAGAGCTGGTTTGGCCGGTTAGGGAAAATTGATCATATCTCCTGGTTTACTCGTCCCCTTCTCATGTTTTTGGGCTTTATGGAAAGCTGACAAACTCCTCGTGACTTCTATGATCGGTTTTGGTTTGGGCCTTTCTTTCATTAGGCTTGAAACTCCTCCTACAGTCGAATGATGCTCGCAGATGAATGGATTGGCAAAACTTCTGTCTTGTAAAATTCATAACTTCTTTCTCCGTAGGTTTTTTCTTGAAATTAAAACTGGGGTAGACTTCGTACTGAGTATAGAATCCATGAAATTTTTTTTCATGATTCAAACCCTCTGGGTTTATGAGATATGTAATATTTAGTGCACAGATGTTCTGCTTGGCGCCTTGGGTGGGTGAGTGGGGTGTTGGATGGACTTCTGGTTCAGCTACTGGATTTAGGGCCGTAACAGGTTCCCACCCGAGGCGTACCATGCTAAAGGCCGGGAAATTGGTGATCAAATTCTATGTGTTATTTATTTAAGCAATCAAACAACCGATAATTCCTAAAATCCAGGAGACTCTCACCTGGCCCTGGAATAGCACCCTTTACCTCTATGGTTATAGCAGCTGCAGGAGGCGTTGTTAGAGACGTACTTACTCTATCTATATTGCCAATACATCTATCTATTTTGACAGTAGCATAATGAATGGTTTCTCGCTGATGTTGAGGAGTGTCCTCTCTTAAAAGAGACTTATCAGAATATTAATGACTTGTTTGATATAAGAATGTACCATTACTTGTTGGCTTCTTTTAATGGCTTTCTTTGAAGCTATTATGACATACTAGGTTATTACCGCGTTATGCGCAGTTGGTATATTTAAATTTTTAAATTATCATTTTTAGTTTTTAGTAAATTAGTTGTTTTCCTTTCTGGTGCACAAAAGAAAATTGTTTTCCTTAAACTAGGTCTGGCCATTTTACGAGGATCCGAAGATTTGACCCGAAACCGATCTGAAAAAACCTGGTCTGGGTAGGAACCAAACCAATGTTTTTATTTTATTGGGTCTTGTTATGGAGAATATGTGGGTCTTAGACCCGATCTGACTAAAACTCGATGAGTACCCTAATTAATAATGCATGATAAATGCTGTTAAAATACAGATGGTACCTAGACCACCTGTAATGGATATCTCATCAAAGAACTTCCAATATATAGTTCCTCTTGCTTTATAAGAACTGACATAGAATATACCCCATTGAAAAATGCCAATATACCCCATTGAGCCGTGAAAAATGCCAAACCCAAGTCCATCTAAATATCACCGCTAATCTTCTTGTCTTGGGCTATGAATGGGATATTCGTGATAGTGTCGTCTTTAAGAACAAGTGGAATAAACAATATCAGAGTAGCAGGGCCGGTCCAGAGGAGAAGCCACCCAAGTCACCGATTAGAGCATCCAAATTAATAAGAAATATTTTAAAATTTTTTTATTAGTATTTATAAATATGTTGAGTTTTAGATAAAGATTACTTATTGAGAATTATTAGCCAGTGAACAAAATCCAGTACTCATTGATATCAGTGCAACTAATACTTCTTTGATTTGTTTAGTTGTTTCTCAATCCGTGTAACATATTTATTAATAAAAATTATATAAACAACACTTATATTTTTACGATTATTATTATTATTATCAAATAAATATAAATTATATTTACATATAAACTTTAATAAAATCATATAAAATATAAGTAAGAATTAATAAAAGTATAAGTAAAAATTAATAAAAATATAAGTAAAAAAATATATAAAATTTAAGCAAACTATTTTTGTTTAAATGCGAGATTTTGTATTAACAATTGATTTTATATTTTTGCTTTAGTTTATTTACAAAACAAACTGTTGTAACTGTTTTAAAAAAAAATTATCTTTTCAATTTTCAGTTAAATGTTTGATTATTTGGGATTTGTTTGTTGGTAATATAAGTTCAAACTAACTCAACGGATCTAAAAACTTAAAACCAAAATCTGAAAATCAAAAATAGAAACCTAAAAACTAAAAATCTAAATCTAAAACCAAATCTAAAAATAAATAAAAAACACTGAAACTAAAAACTAATGCAAAACAATCATCACCACAAATTTTGGATTATTGATTTTATACCAAAATATACTTAGAAAAAAC